CCGTGAATATTAAAAGAAAGCTAAGCCGGAAATTGAAAATACAAGAGCGCGTGCATTAAATAAATAAATATCTCTTTTGATTTCGAGAGAAGTACTGGAAAATTCTAGCGCGTGATTTTAAAATCTTATAAAAGGGGAGGAAAACATCTCAGTTTGTAGTAGTTGCTGCTTAGTTTGTTGTTTAAAAAAACTACTGTTGTTGATTGTAGCGAATTCGTGGATTAGCGTTCTTTAGCTGTTTTGAATTACGTTCTATTGTACATTTGAGCAGTTAAAAGAAAACTACTGTGAGATATTGTAATACTGCGTGATAATTTGAGAAAATTTAAGCATTTTTGTTGTGATAATAATAAATTTTTGTTCATTTTTTTTTATCGGACTTGTGCATTCATTTCATAACGAACCCGTACGCACGCAACAATATGTTTCAAATTTGATCAGAAAACTCGACGATATTAAAAAAATTGTGTTGCCACTCGGGAAAACGCAACTATATTAATTTATCCCGGATTTAATAAAAAAAACTCGGCTATTAAGAGAAATGTGCTGCCCAAATTAAAGTTTTTTACAGTATGTTATCGTTCAGCAATGCGTAAAATGTTTAACTTTCACGCGTCAACAAGCACGCATTAACATGCGTGTTTGATTTTTGAAAGTGAATTTGTAATAGTCGTCACAAAACTTTACTTTTACTGTGAAATCAGTTAAGCCAACAACGATCACTGAAAGCGCTAAAGGAAAAGGCATCACGAGCTTCAGAAACTAACGAACAATGGGAAGCAAGCCTATGAAACGTTCGAGTATGCACTGCTGAAGCCTGTTCGTGTGAAACATACGAGCAACGAATAGCAAAATTGGAAAAGCACTTCAATAAACAAAATTAAAACATAAACGCTATCTTTCCTTAAACAGCTTTGCAAAACATGCTGGGTTACAGCCAGTATACTATAAAAATGAAGTTTTCTTTAGTTGAAAACCAATCAAATTATATATTATCCAACTTCTAGTAAAATTCAAGTTTTAATGAAACGTAGCAAAGAGGAAAACGTTTGATTACGTTGATATAAACTAGTTTTTTACGCATAGCTAACTAACTATACCTAATAAAATATAATCCAAAATTTCGTATTACAGACCTGTCTATTTGTAGGAAGAGAAAATTAGGTTTACTTACAAATTATCAACCAGAAGTGATGCTTTACTTAAAGTTCATTGCTATTGAAAACATGGAATTAAAGGGAAGTTATAAGATCGCTGCATCAAATTTTTAATAAATTATTTTCTGAATGTGAGTATGCTTTGTGCTGTTGGAATGCAGCATTGTTTGCAAAAGCTATAAAGCTGAATGCGACAGATTCTAAAATTTGATGTGTGTAGCAAATGGCTCTTAAACTGCCAACAGAATATGAAAGAGAACAAACAAATCAGCAAATGGTTTTGCTTCCAGACGGGTCTTGTCTGTGTTCGAAGTGTTTGGGTCGACGCTGCCGTTTACTGTATCGGTGGTGTATATGCGTATCTCTGGTGTATATACGCCGAATTTAGACGAGTATATTATTCAAAGGGAAGATGATGATGTTAGTGACAAAGTAATTATCAGCGAAGTGAAGAATGAACATGCAATCCTTGTTCTGTAAAAGAATTAAAATCATTTCTCCGGTGATAGGTTGATTGATGGCAGGTATAAATTTTCGTCTCAATCGATAGAGCAATTAACGTGTGTCATCGATAATAAAGTCATCACGCTGAGTAACAACGTTTCGTATTCAAATCTCAACGTGACCAGATGTGATTGTTTTTTGCTAATCACCTATGAATGATTTTTGGCAATTGTTGGTTTATATTTCCTTCGAAGTGATTGTTAATTTAACTTATCTCGTTTAGTTTGTATATTTGCCCTTGGTTGTTAGTTGCTTATATTCCTTGCGAAAGCAGTTTCTAAATATTTTATGTAATTGGCGAAGAAAGTTTAACTTGCAACCAGTAGTGGAATGCGTTTGTAACGAATTTTTCAAAATTTCAGTGGAAAATTTATTCTGTGTGTTTTCTGTTACTGCTGCTCCTAATGCTTCAGTTATTGGAAACTCTAATTCCAGTCACTCTACTTACATATAGTGTTTATGATATTCTGTTTCTCTTACAAGGATTTTTTGCCAAAGTACTCAACAGGGAATTTTTGCCGAAAATATCTAAATACGAATCTGTGCATTATTTCAGTGCTGTTAATGATCATATTCTGTACTGGTTCCAGACTGTCAGAGAAGGAGATTTTGTCAAATTACGAAAGTTGAATCATAATAAATATTTCTAGCACAGTGTGAGTTATTATTTGAATTGACTAAAGTACAATCATGAAATCTAATCAGGCCTCAAAGCATCTCTAATAAAATTGCTTTCTGGCAAAAATCTTGTTACGTTTCTTCATACGTACTGGTTCGTGGATTTAGAGTGAATAACGACGACACTTGATGAAGTATCGAAACACATTTTATTCGCCAATATTACTCAGGACAGCTCCGAAATCGCGTTTATAGTCGTCGAAAAACGACTATAAACACGCTGAAACAATCAGCAACGCAGCAGTGTCAGCTAACACGTAGACTACGAGTTCAGCGAGAGCATAAAAGACATTCACGAAACCTGCTGGGCCAGCTTTAAAATCTGAAACCTTTCAGATTTTTTTCATTTATTGCTATTATTATTATTATTAGATATGGTTCGCTGGGTCAATATTTACAAGCAATTCCAGCTAATGACCAGAGAGATAGATACCTAGAGATGTAGTCTACAAATGCTTCCAGGATTGTTATGCATATAGGAGGAAATGTTCAGGTGAATGTTACTTCAAAACTAAATTATATTTTTTGCGTTTCAAATAAAATTATTTCTTAAACATCTCCCATAAACCTTTCGAACATAGAGTTTACTGTCATTTTACATGATTTTCTTATATAAAAGCAAGCATTTTTTTATTATAAAGAGAATTATGTTTGAATTTCACGATAGGCGTGTGCATAGCATGCTGTAAAGATATCAGTTTACGGCGTATTACAAATTCTAAGGTGGGGAATGATTAGACTACAAAGTTCATTATCATTCCTCACTGAAGTAGAAAGCGGACATCACTAATCTCTCATGCATGCATTGTACCAGTCATCTGTGCCATAATCTCATCGCCAGTAACTTCCAAGGTTCATTGTCTGTTTGAAATTAAGCGTGAAATAGCGGAGGGTAAAGATTTATTTCCTTCGTACATTACAAAATTTTGAAGTGCCGATGACACCTTTTTACTATCTGAACCTTGGGATAAAAAATCCGCTCTGTTTATCTGTTCCATTTCCTTATCGAAAAGAAAGGCCGTTGTAATAAGACGACTGGTTGATACGAAACCGGAATGGACTTGGAACATCCGATGTTTTAGCAGCTGATAAGCAGCGAAAGTATTTGATAAGGGTTTGCTATGTCCTACATGACGGGTTTTGGATTCCTGCGAAATTACCTCCCTCCATGTCTTCCAAATTCCATTTTCACTTGTGAACTTTTATGCGGCAAAGGCTTTCTAACTCTCAAGGACTTCACCGTTCCAAGCATGAAATTGGCAGAATAACAGTTCTGATACGAAATACTAGCAACAAAGACTACAAAAACAAGATATATGTACAATTTCATTACAAAAACACAAAATACAAAAATGTAGAATGTCGTCAAAAGCTTGTAGAGACATTAGGTTATTTTTTTAAAGCAGGAGAAATGAAAAATGGGCAATGCCTTCGCCAGGAATCGAACCACGGACCTCTGGAATACGCGCGGAGCGTGCTGACAACAACATTACGAAGGCGGGAGAAACACCTTATATACTCCCGCTTTTAAAGGACGACTGGGGTTTTAGGGGACCCAATTGCCAAATCCTGAGGTGTGGAGAATCATCATCCACCACCCTTTTAGTTTGGGTGCCACTGTAGAGTCATTAGGTTATTTAGAAGCAAGAGAGATGAAAAATGAGCAACGCCGGGAATTGAACCAAGGACCTCTGGAATATGCGCGCAACGTGCTAATCACTATACTACGAAGACATGGTAAGAAGGCGAGAATAATACCTTATAAGTTCATAATAAAAGTGCTTCTGACCTTGGTGTTTTAGTACATATTAGGACGAATTGGTGTTCGTAGCGCGACACTGTTACCTAAATGTATCATTTTTCTTTACAAATAATATTGAACATTGCACCAAGAGTGGAGCATCCATTCCCTGGTTGCTTCTTTGAGCTGCCTTTAATGTTAATAGTACTCCACGCTCAGAGACTGTACGGAGGGGCGCCAAACCCACCGATCAGCCCGCGGGGACTTCTCATGTTCATTGCCACCATCCATCACCGAGAACTGAGCGGGGAGCCAGCCCCCAGCCCCCTGTACAGTCTACATGAGCCCTTAATATCTACATGAGAGCGTCCCCACAAACAAGGTCACAGACACGACAGTGCACGTACGGTCTTTGCCAAACCTGCACCTACCACCGTATAAACGATGGTTCTCTTCACTTTGAAGAATGATTATCTACCCAAGAAACCGAAGCTGTCAAGACACAAATCCAGCCAGTGGTCTGGAAGAACCCCGGGTCTCCTCCCAAAAATGGACGGTTTCGGAAATTCCTACCAGTCGATCCCAAGGAATGGGTTGTCCAGCATCATTAGCCTATGCTAGCCAACGCCGAAGCCCCAACCGACATAGTTACCAGCAGGCGTCGCGAGGACTGAGGGAGACGAGAGCAGGTTTTTCCATCTCCATTCCCTCAACCCCTGCCCTTCGGTCGAACCTACTGCCTTTCCTTCCCGCGCACGGTCAGTTCCAGCCGGTTCCGGACATTCAACCTCGAGGTCAGGTGCCGGCGTCCCTCATAAGATCAAATGGCAGGTCTCCTCCCGCAAGCGGTCGGTTCTGGACATTTGTCCCTTTGCCTTATGCTTTATGTGTATACACTCCTGAAATTTCTCGTAGCACTCCTTATCATTTACTGAGGTATTACTGTAATTTCTCCTCGGATTCAATGATCTGTATTTTATAAACTTCCGCCTTCAAATGTCCCCAGGGTAAAAAGTCACAGAGTGCCAGTTTAATAAGCGTACCCACCATTAAAAGTTATAAATTTTTTGGAAGGAATTTTCTCACAAAGTGTTCCCATTACGGAATAACCATCGCAAGCTGTTGAAGCTGAGTTCGTGGTTAGGCAACAATTGTACTAGAAGCAAATATTTAACGTTTATTAATTAACAGCCGAAGTTTTCAACTTAATGCTAAAACTTGCATAAGAAGACAGAAGCCTGCAAGCATGTCCTTCGGCAATATGACAATATACCAATGAGGAAGTACTCCCAGACAGAGGCTTAGAGAAGCTTATATTCAGTTATGATGCCCCAACCTTTAGAGGTGATACAAGGAGACATAATCCTTCCCCCCGATCAACCCAGTGGGACAAAAATACACAGTCAGGGAATATGAAACCCAAGTCAACGTGGCTGGCAAGCAGCCGCCAACAAAGAAAACAGAGTTCAATGTCAAATATTGTCCCCCAGGTTTGAGCAAGGGGAGCAAAACCACCAAGGACCGACCATCGAATAAACGATGTCTCTAGTCACTGTCAGGGTTAAACAGAAAGGGTTTAGGGTTAGATCTGTTCTAAGTCCTCGTCACTGTGAAGACTGATTTTTTTAACCCAGAAGTCTACTACTAGCCAAAACACCGGAAGTTGCCCTCCAGTCGGTCCCCGGGGGGATTTTCATATGACAACTGAAAGTAAAAAATGGCTATTTAGAATTCACTGGATGAAGTGCATTTACCACGATTTAAACTTCATCATAAACATGGGTGGTTGTCAAGCAAGTTATCTGTCTATAATTGATTGGGGTTTAAACTATAGTCCACAAAGTACCTGCTAATGTGAACATTTTATATGGTCCATATACCTAGAAATTATGATTTTAACAAAAATTGCGTTTAGGAACTATGTGTTAACTCAGCATTAAGATCCTCTTGGTGTACAGCATTCCAAAATATTGCTATAATATTTCAGCACCGATGAAGATATATGACGTATTGGTGAAAATTCTTTTACGTAATAAATTTATGTATGATAATCTTTATTATTTTAATAGTTGTGTTTTCTATATTTCTATTGAAGAGGTTTTTCAAGCAGGCTCTGAATTACCTTGCAATTCTACTTAAATATCCCAATGTTACTTCTTTAACTTGTGCAGCTTCTCCAGAATGTAATCTAATTTAATAATTTAAGACTTGTAATAATTAATTTTTCTGATAATAGATCATACATTACACATTCATATAAACTAAAAGTTTAAAAGATTATTGAATACTGAAATGTGGAGATCATAAGAAGTGCAATTTCCATATGAGAGTTGTGCTTTTATTTTTGATGCATTTGCGAAGAAGGTTTTTCGTAAGCATGGAAAACTACACCCACTTCAGGATTGTAGTCCTTCAGGACCTTCACTATTTGTTTGCAGGAGAAACCGCTTCTGTTAAAACTATTTTATTGCACAATTGCTCATGGGCCAATGGGTCTACAATAACAAGATGTTGTATGCTTCCAAAACAGTAGACAAACATCATTTTTAAATCAGTATATTTCATATTATTGCATGGTTTGCAGCCAAGATTGTAAAATAGTACTTTTCCAGCTCTTTCTTTGTTACTATTATCCTGAATAGTTCCAGTTCCTGAATAGTTAGCAGCAAACAGCTTGCGTTGTGCTTGCTTTGTTCCGGCTGTCGTCAGGTAACGTGCTTCTAAAAGCGCTTAAAGTAGTTGAATGCTTCAGTGTGGTCCAGAGGGAGAGCTAAGAAGTGGTGGAGGCAAGACCAATAGTCACATGTAACGTAAGCAGGCGTCGGGTTGGCTGAGAGATCCAAAACGATGTTCTGTAAAATATAAACATCTACATAGAAAATATAATTATAAAATGCATGTAATATCTTGAGAATAATAGAGGAAAATGACGTTGATTAAAAAAAACTTGGGCTCATTAATAAAAGGCAGGTAAATTTTGGTAATACAATCTTTGTAGTTTTAGTCAAACTTACCCTGAACATTGCCCTGAGTCATTTATTGTACTGGCTGAGGTCTGTACTTTGATAGTCTCGGTTCTTGGGATATAATGTACGGGTGGGAAGCGTTACAATTCAGTCATCAATTGGCGTCTGCTTGAATACCTACAAATCATGCATGCTTTGTTAAGAAAGCTGCCTTCCCAAAGAGGGTAACAGGGCGGTAAAGGCTTCGGGATTAAATGTCGCAGTTGTGCGGCATCTTATTCGTCGAACCGCCCCCCCCCCGCGTAATACGGAGAAACTAAGCTAACGGTTAACGCACCAATAGTTGCATTCACTTCCCTAGGGTGAGCACATATCTTAATTACTTATCTTGAACATCTACAGATATTTGGTCTTCTAAACTTTAACGAACTAGAATAAGCATGGAAAAAAACATGTTAAGCATCATGGCGTAAAAGCCAGGAAAAGGTAATTAATCTTCAGTACTTTTAGGTGTAATTTGAAAACCCCTTGTTATAAAAAATCAAAAATTGTAGTAAGCCAATAAATTAAATAACTTTCTCCGCTCATTTTGAAGTTGGACTGGCTGCAGGGACTTTTCTCTCTTCTCTGTACGTTTGAAACTTGAATTCTACAGCCACTGGCGAAAGAAGAAAAATATGACATGGACACCACATGACTTCCTTATAAGGCCTATTAAATTATACATATTGTTTGCTTAATTTCCTTTAAGCTATTTCCTCGAATTTTATTAGAGATATATTTCTTATTCAATCATTTGAGTTCTCACTTCGCGCAGCGGGCGCAGGAAGCCACACTTTTCGATGCACAAAAGTGGAAGTTAACTTTTGGGCACACTGGGCAAAAAGACACTGAAGTCGGTACACCAATTGACTTAATTCACTATCTACAGAAGCTTTCATATGTCAACAAATGGTGGCCCCTTAAGCTTGGGACCACTTTTAAATTGTTGATATTTGTACAGGTATTGCATGCAGATTAACTAAAGGCATAAAAACCTTAATAATAATAATATAAGAACAGCTTCATTCAATCACTTTTAAAGCAAAAACAAAAATGCACAATTTACCAACATGTAAGAATACTATATATGTGTGTGTGTGATGCAGCCAATTGCAACCACAAAGGCAGGTGCATAACTACATGTTATAGAAATCCCATATACTAAATTTCAACGATTTGAGGCTACTCTTTTTTAAGTTATGAGAGATACATTCATACGTACGTACATACTTACAGACGTCACGAAACAAAAATCTGTTCTGAATCTATTTTAAATCCATTTTACAATCCATTTTTAGGAAAAAGAGTCCTCTATTCCGTCCGTACGTACAGATGTCACTAAAAACATCGTTCAAAGGCACTCGAGAGCGGTCAGAATGGATATTTTCGTTGAAATGTGATACTCGAAATTTTTCGTGATTACAGTACTTCCTGTATTTCGTACAAGGAAGTAAAAAGAAACGGATGCGGTAACTACACGGTGACTTAAGAATATATAATGACCCCCATTTAAATTTACGTGTTTTGTAGCTTGTTTTACGTTACGTTTCTAATGTAAATATTATAAAGTTACTTGTCAAGTCATTGTTACGGAATGAAGAAATCTGTCACAAGGAAAGTTGAAACACGCTCAACGGCTCACAGAATTAAATAAACGATTATAAAATGATTAGGAATTAATAAAAAATTATAGAATATACCGTAGGACCTATTTTCGCTCAATCAACCATAAAATCTTACGCATAGTTATTACAGAAATGGGAGAAAAAGCACCGCATTGTTATTGCAATAAACTTATATTAATTTAAGAAGAACTCGAATACGTTTTAAAGATATGATAACTTTGAAGAGCGTGCAGTTTTAATGGATATCGAACGTTTTATCAGTTCAAAGTTTGGCGCAAAATATGTTACACTCATCGGTTCAAAGCTCATCGCAAAAGGGTTTTACACTCTTCGGTTCAAGTCTCGGGAAATCCACATAACATCAAGATAACTAGCTGCTGAAGGGACAAAGGTGTAGATTGTATAAAACATCTGCCGATTCCATCGAAGATAGACACGGCAGACAAGTGCGTGAAAGAAAATGAACTGTTTTTAAAAAATTGCCAAACAAGAATTGCTTCCCGATACACCAAAGAAATAAACTTTATCACATAACTTTTAAAGCCAGGTGTAGTTTTACTTGGTTGTCACAAATGATAATGACACTTTGTATGCATCAATAAATGCAATGATTTGTCTCTAAACGACATGATCCGAGTCGATTTGGGTCTTCATTCAAGTTAGTCGCCTTAAAGAGTTTATGTTTAGTACTCATGTTTATTTACGCTTTCAGAAATTTTGGTTATCTTTTCGACGCGGTCGTCTTGGAGAAGAGGTCGTCTAAAGAAGGTTCTCTGCAACACACAACGGATAACAAACATATACTTTATAAGGTTATAAGGTCACTATTGTTTTTCATTAACAAGTTATTTAAGGGGACTCGTACACCTTAAAACCCATAAGATCTTCAAATATGTGACTGTTGCGAGAATTGGGATAACTGAGTTATTTTAAAAGCAATTACTTCTAAATTTTTACAGCTGACTACATAATATAGCTGCTTTCTGAAGTAGTAATCAGAAAGTTTGTGTTGCCACAAATATTTTTTATAATTTAATCCGCTTTGTGACAATATTTTTCGTCATGTTTCCACCTTGCGCGCATAGTTTAAAACATTCTGTTGCATAATTTAATTCCATATTTAATATATAGCTTTTATAACATTTGGAAACTACTGTGAACCAAAAATTCTAGGAATTTCATGTTAAATTTTTATTTTATTTGGAGTTGAGTTTGTAAAATGTATTTTATTAAAAAAATCTGTAATGTTTTCCTGCAAAAATTTTTTTAATATTAAAAATATTCATCAGATTTTTGGTTCATTTATAAATTAGTGGCCAGTTAAAGACTTCTATCTAATTTCAAGTATGTACCATTAACCATTTTTAAAATATCATGCGCGCAAGGTGGAAACATAACGAAAGATTTTTCACAAAGCGAATTAAATTACAAAAATATTTGTGGCAACACAAACCTTTTGGTTACTAGTTTCCAAAGCAGCTACATTATGTAGTCAACCGTAAAAACTTGGAAGTAATTGTTTTTAAAATACATAAAATAGCCTAATTCTAGCAACAGTCACATATTTGAAGATCATAAGGGGTTCAAAGTATATAAGCCCCCTTAATGTTTCGGATCTTTACTGTCACTACTCCTTTCTGTTTCCTCGCCAAAACGCAAATTAAATTGCGTATTTAAGCTGAATTGATTAGATTCTAAGACAGAGGGCGTTTTTCCCTCTCGAGGTCATGCTCCTAGGTTAGCTAGAGTTGCTAAAAATCAGCACAACTATAAGATTGTATTCTATGCCTTTGCGTTATAGTAGTCAACATTTATATTATTACTCCTCTGAGAAGTTTGAGCCAGCTTCGAGTTAAATCATTTGTGTCATTTATTTGACTTCTATATTTAGTTTCAAATTTGGTTAGTTGGGATTTTTTGGCACAAAAACCCATAGGGTTATGTTAGTTTTAAATTTGAATTTACTGTTACTTTATCGCCACAAGTAGTGGGTTGACTTGCGAGCACGAGTAGAGGGTTGACTTGCACAAGTAGTGGGTTGACTTGCGAGCATGAGTAAGAGGGTTGGTTGACTTGCACAAGTAGTGGGTTGACTTGCGAGTCGTGCATTTATGTTCCATTTCTGGCTAAATTACAAGGTTTGTTAAAAACCTTTTTTTTTTTTTTTTTTTTTTGACTTTTTAGTATTCCTCCCTTTTATTCTACTAAACGAAGTGTTTAGGAACCTAGTGAACTACAACTAAGCGAATAATCGCTTAAGTCCAAGAACAGAAACATAAACTCAAGAAAAGTTAATTACCCTTTATTTACTCAAAATAAAGATTTCACAGTTGGCCCCTTTCTCGGGGCGTACAACAAAGCCTCCACTTAGGCTTAAAATGTAAAAAATGAGAATTAACTAATGACTAACTAAGGAGATTTAGCCGAAATTAACACAATTCTATGCTAGTTGGCTCGTAATATTAACTTAGCCAGCGAAGCTATCAAAAGACACGTAATAAGACCGAGCGTACTAACAGTTAGAGACACATAGCCGAAAAGCAAACGATCGCTGTTCAGGAATCCTAACTCTTTCTCGCCTGAAGTCTGTGGAACTTTGACTTAAATACTTTCTACTTCTCATTTGCATTTAAGGCGAAAAACTAATTCTTGTAAGGAATTGTAAGCTGAAGCTAGAAGAGATAGAAAAATGTCATAAACTTAAAATAAGTGTTACAAAATTAAAATGTACCTTACAACTTTGTTGGTCTTTTCAGACGAGAGATAATTCTCTCCAAGTATGTTAGGAGTTCGGACTTTGTTTATGCTAGCAAAGAACACTAAAGTCTGTAACTTTAATTTCATGTATCAGGTGATGTTCCAGTTGGATCCTTCACTTTTAAGGAGATGGAATGAGATTATAAACCTCAGATGTTATTCGCTGCTTCCTGAATGAACATTTCAGCGACAACGTAATCTATGGTGGATGTCCTGAATGATGTCATTGCGGATGAGTTCCCCCCCCCCTTACTGACAAAGACACTGGATATTTAATGGCCTTATCAGTCTCTATGAGGATTTTCCACGCAGTCAATACACAGTCACTGGGGGAGGGGGGGAACCCGCTGAAATTATAAAAACGTATAATTCAAAAACTGTTAGACGTAAGAAATTATTCAAACATTATAATGCTATGGAATATTTAAAGATTTAGGTTTAGCTTATGCTATTTCGATGTTATTCCATCTGTCGTACAGGAGATTTCAAAACTACTTCCAGAATCCTGTTCCAAGATTCTGTGAATGAGGAAGTTACAGATGTGATGACTTCTGTTCTTCTTCACTGAAAGTACAGAAAATCACGAATCTTTACACTAGACAGCGTAATCTTCAGCTACTCCGGTTAAAATAAATCAATAAACTTTGAAGTTTATACATGTTAGCTGTTGTGGATAACATCGTAGCATATTCCTTTCATCCAAACGATTGGCATTATTACGAATTTTGTTCTCAGATAGGTAAAGTAGAATTATAAGTACAATTGTTGTATTTCTTTTGTCCTATGAAAAATCTAAAGAGAAGCTATGCCGGAAAATTAAGAGTACAAGGGCAAGTGCATTCAATATTAAGTAAATGAGTATCTCAGTAATTTGGAGAGAAATTACCAAAAGTTACCAAATTTGGCGACAGTTTGGCGACACTTTGGTCCGGTCCCTATACCACCGTAATATGTATTCAAATTGAATAAATGTAGTTGACCACCATATTAGCTGTACCGTAATTCCACCCTTTTACTGCTTTCCAGTTTCGAGAAGAAGAAAGTACTAGTAATATTTCGGCGGCCGGTTGAAAACTGTTTAAGACCAAAAAGAGAGCATCTTCTCTCAGTTGTTTAGTTATTGTTGTTGAGATTTTTCGTTCCGCGTGAACTGAGATATATCCGAGTTAGTTTTCCCTTTACATGCCTTTTGCATTGCGCTGTGTTTAACTTTCTCAGTCGTTTGAAGCGTAACTCCTGATTGTACTGTGTGATACTGTGGAAACTTGTACGAGTATTTCTGAGGAAAATTCCAGAAATTTGAAGTGTTTATTTTGATAAAATAAATTTTCTTAACCGTTCTTTGGACCTGTGTGCATTCAATCTATTACGAGCCCGTACCATGCAACAGTATTTTTCTCTAATATCTGCACCTGTGAAATTTGATATTATTTCACCATTTAATTCTTAAATTATTGCATTATACTTATAAAAGGTTAAGAGTGCTGCGATTTTATAACTTGGCCTTCTTTCTGGATACTTCCTTAATTAATGCAAATGCTTGAAAATACTGGTTTATAACACAGGACACAAAGGGTGTTCTGGGATGCATAATTCGTAAGTGCACATCAATATCGCAGCCGAATGAGGGGCTTCCAGTGCTATCAATGGGATTCCTTTGCTATATACCAATGTGTCACATGGCATTTGCTGCACTTGCAGAAAATGGTTGAAAAATGTTTTGAAGCCCGGTTATCTACACAAAATACCGGAAACAATATATGTAAATTTCTTATGTAAATTTTTATTGCGGTGTTTGCATAAAAAACAATGCAGTTAAAAAGTTTCAAAATTTTCAGAAATTTACAATAACATTAATTTACAGTAGTACAGTAATAAATTTACAGTAATAGAAGCTTCAAACTTTTGTACTATAGCAAGAAACTAAGGTCTATCTGCTGGTATCCTTTCCTGGGTGCCTTATCAGGTTCAATGTTCCGTCTTACTTTCTTTTGGGAACATGCACAGACCTGACTCGGAACAGAGAGCTTATTAAAGCTATGTTCAATAACTGTGGGAAGTAGATAAGATACACAAGAAGGGTATTCAAAACCCTTTATTTTTCACTCTTTACAATAATTTCCGTACTTCGGAATACAGAGACCAACTACTTGTGGTCTGAACGTAAGAATATAAAAATATAACTAAACTCTAACTTAAATTTGGAATAATAAACGTGGAATTTTGGCCTTATATTAACAGGAAGCCGTATGTAGTACAGAGAACTGTTAACACTACAATACGTTTAAAATTATCACGAGGATTAAACCTCTGGCCTGGAAGGCAACTAGCAACTGAGTAAAACTTCTAAGGTAAGCGGCCTGCTTCGACTTACTCCTTCCTCTCTCTCGCTTGGCAAAAAGCCACAACTTAAGTACTTGGCGTTCGCCAGACAAATTTTGCATAAATAAGTTAACGCTTTTAATTCTGGCCGGAAGTAGAAAATAAGAAGTGATAGTAAAGATTTAAAATAAAATAAACGTTAGTAAAAC